TAGCAACACTGCACTGTTGTGAAATGAACCAGTCTCCCTTGGTGTTTTAAATCTGATAGCAGACCACTTGGGAAGTTTGACATTATGGAGTTCCTCATGAATGGAAGGCTGCACACATCCCTCTAGATTAAATCTTACACCAGAGAACTAAAAATATTTCTGATCAGGTAAAAATCATGTTATTTTGTTTCATAACAACAAATAATTAGGGCTACCTTTGAGGTTTAAGGGGTGCTGCTCCAGACTGCTGTAAAGTGGAGCTTTAAGTCACGTGATCCATTGAGCAACGGATCCGACCCTCTGATATTACACAGGAAAGTTTTAGAGAAGGTCAGTGTATTCTGAGAATCAACACCAGAGTGCTATAAATTAACCTGAACAATCATTTAATATATTTTAAATCGGAAAAGTATCTGGGTTCAAAGTGGACAGTGTTGCTTTAAACGAGCATCATTAGATTAAGTTTGTAGTCCAACATTTCCTTTACTTGCCTTTAGCTTCTGTCTAAATTGTTATTTCTGTTTTTCTGTTCTGTGCATGAACATGAACTTAAATTGTCATGTAACTGATAAGTGCTATAAAAATTAACTTAAATATCTTGGAGAATAAGCCAGTGCCTTCATGTTGGTGCTCTCTGAATCACGCTCTGCAGGTAACAAGACATCAGAGTTTAATCCTACAATCATGGAAGAACTATGTAAGTAGACCTGAATATGTCATTTAATAATCTATTTATCATTTATCTTGATTGTTTCTGCCATTTGTGCTGTGTGTTTTCATTTACAATTTGTGTTTCATAAAACAGGTAAAGCCATCATTACAGCAGCTGCAGTAGGTAGGTATGAGTCTATGCATGGCTTTCAGAAAAATCCTGAAAAGTCAATTTGTGTTTCCTTTGCTATGGTCTTGCAGGAGGTACCGTGGTTCTGACTCCTGCTGTTCTGGCGGGAATGGGCTTCGGTGCAACTGGAATAGTAGCAGGCTCCATAGCTGCTAAGTTGATGTCAATTTTTGGAGCTACCTGGTTGATATCTCTCTTGCAATCTATAGGTAAATTTGGTGCTGATCTTTCATAAATATATTTTCGATGGATGTTGTCTTTAAAGATTGAAAACTTGCTAATGGGATAATTGAGAATGAGCCAATAAAACAAACTGCGTATGAGATGAACTTGTTATCGACTACAGCTAAGAGATTTTTTTGTCTTTTACTACAGGTGCCGCTGGAATGGGATGGCTTGGAAATTCACTATGGAGCGTGTTTGGAGGTTTTATAGCAAATCAGATATCATCTCTCTGCAATATAACTGTTGTGTATAATGGCACCTAAACATAGCATTGATAAGAAACTGATGACCATTGGTCTATAAAATCTGCAAATGCTGTTTTGGCTTTTTTAATAGATCTTTTCTTATCTTCCTTAGCTAACCACTATGAGTAGATTATGCCTTAAGACTATATGAAGATTTTATTTCAAAGTAATTTGTATTATATTAAACATTTGTTATTTTGTGCAACTACACATTTGGATGTTTCTTTTAAACTTCAGTAAAATATATTGTACTGATGAGCCTTCAGGGTTTTTATTAAGACAAGAAAGATGCTTTTACCAGGGTGTCCTAACAATGATGCAAAGTGGTCAAATGTGACATGAAATCTACGGTTTGTCTTTTAGTTACCCTAATAAACAGACTCTTCTTCTTCCTGTGGATCAATTTAAAGAAATCTGTAACTGTTCTGACCATCTTAAAGGAATAAATATTTGATCTGGGTGAATAAAGTAATTTAATCATCAACTGATTTTTCACTGCCTCTTAAAGTCCTTGATCAGGTTTCTAAAATAAGACTGTTTTGTCTAACATAAAACAATATTATGAGAATTCATCTTACAGTGTCTTGTAGGTTAATTTCCATTAATGGTTAATTATCATTTACCAATTTCCAATAATATGCTTCTGGTGGCCTCTGTATAGCTTCAACCTAACAAAAAAGGATAATTTTATTTAAATAAAGATGTGTGTTTTAAGGTTTTGGAGGTTAGGGAGGTTGGATCAGTAATGTTTATATTTGCTGTGTTTGTTGGAGTTGAAATATTTTTGTCACAACAACGGCTCAACAGAATGATTATAATTCAATATGTTTCAAACAATAACCACATGTTTGTTTCAGTATATCTCATGTGTAGTTGGATAAGGGACAAATCAAATACCTGACCTTTAGCTTTTGATGACAATTTTAAACAATGGCCAGGCCTCAAATGCAAGAAATTTATCATACCAGTAAATTATATACGGTAATAATTATTTTATTTAGGCTTAAATCAGAGGCATTTCATTTTTCTGAAGATTGAAAAAGCTTACATAATTGAAAAATACTCCTGGATAGGGGCTCTTTCTCTGTGAGACAGATGAGAGGATGAGCTGACATAGTCAGCATTTCCAGGTTTTATGACTGATATTGAGTCTGTTAAATTTAACTTTTTTCCCTAAGTGCTTTAAGACACTTATACAAAATACACTATAAATGATATTTCTCATTCTTTATTTTCTCTAATAATTATAATCATTATTACCTCCAACTCCATTGCTGAACTCTTCATCTTTATTTACAGCCACTCCCAAAACTGCCATAACACGGAACCGGTTTGTTTGAACACAATTACTAGTAATTAAATTATGAAGTAGTTTCAATAACTTGGTTGTTGTTACTTTCACTGACGTTACACATACACTTAGGGTGTTGACATCTTGAAAGAACAACCTAAAGGTTTTGAAGCACTTTGGTATGATGAGGGAGGAAAAACCTGAGATATGACATTCCCTTCAACCTTATCCAAATAAAGTACAATACCCAAACCCTTGTAACATTATGTGTCATTTAGCACATAGTTTGAAAGGTCACACAGCTTAAAGGAAGCCTCAGCAAGTTCCTTTTTATCAGCTTTCACAGTCACACTAAACAAAGCAAAGATTTACAGCATTTTAACTGATAACCAGTAAAAACAATTTTATGAAGTATAATTTCACAGGATGACAAAAATAAATACTAAAGAATACTAATGTAGTG